AAATTAATTTCGCTGTCAAATTTGACAGTACCATTATCTATTCAAAAATAGTGGCTCAATTAGAACAGACCTTTAATTAATTCTTTTTCTTTATTTTTTCGTCATTAGTAACTCTTCATAGAACTTAAGCATTTATTTGAATTCTTATAATGCTAACATTAATCTCAGTTTATATTCATGAAGAAATAATGCATTTACGTAATAAATGTGGGCAGTTAAAACTCGTTTAGTCCGACCAAAAAAAAAAATTCTATGAATTTTACACCTGATAAAGTTAGAAATCTTAATGACTTGCTTGCGTAGGTCATGCGTCATAGAAAAAAAAACCTATTATTGCTTCTTCTTAATCAACATTCTAGAAATAATTTGAATTTTTATTTTTAAACACCTTTTTGACCAAGTATTTTTCAAGCGTAAAGCTAATATAAGTCATCAACTGTTATTATATCTATCTTTTGTAACAAATTCATTCTAATTGCTCTTGGAGTACGGAATGCATTGGAAATTTTCTTATTTATAATTTTGTAGGGAAAAACAGATATTTCAAAATTTGGTTGTTAACTAATGATTTATGGTTTTACGTGTTTTTTTTTTCTTCCTAAATATTATTTTCCTGAATTATTTGTATAACAATTCTAGATTTATTCTTAAATATTTGCCCAACTCATTCTATTTTTTTTTCTTTGCATAACTTATTTAAATTTGTTTATCAAACGATATTCGCCAACTCTTCTGCATTAACGCCTCATCTTTTGCCTTTATATGAGAAACTCAAATCTTCTGCATTTTGAAAATATCGATAAAAATTTATTTTTTTCTTAAAACTACTTATGTGTATACACATACGTGTGTACTGTCTCTTTCACCTTACCTAGACAATCAAACTTTGAACTTTTACTTCACTTCGGTCTGATCGCCTCTGTTGTAGAGTGCATAAAATTAAAAACGGACCACCCTGATTAATTTTTGATCTAATGATCGGATCGTTCTAGGACTCAATCTTAATGGTTCGAGGTGATTTCTAAACTAATTAAGAATTGCAGGTGATATATTTAAGCTACGAAATCAGACACAAAGCGGACTTTCTCTGATCAAACATACCCTTTTTTTTTGTTGACGGATTCGGATTTTTGACTGCCAAAATTTAAAGGGTGGTTGCAATCTGGGAATTATGGTCCACATAGTTTGGTCAGGAAAGCGATCCAAAGTTTGAATCCTTTATTGTTCAGTTTGGGTTTTGTGTATTTTGTCGTATCTCGAGAACTTTTTAAGCAAATTAAAAAAACTGATCGTTGCGTCTGATCATTTCACATTTTTCTTTTTTTTTAAATAACATTTTGGATTCTAAACTCACTCTGAATAATTGTAATATAAACTTCTTTGTAGTTAGTGATGGGATGAATAGTTATTTAATTAGTTGTAAACCTAGTAAAAGTGCTTTTTTAAAGTAAAATTTAAGTTTTTTAGTATTAAGTTTTTTTAAAGTTAACTGTACCGTTGATTCTTTGAAGAAAGTATAGAAATTCTACATTCTAAGCAATTTCTCCTGCAAATTTCTAGAAAATCTTCTGCATTTTAAAAACTTTTTTAAAATTTTATTTGGGTTGACAGCTGTGCTGTTTTATGATCGCTTTGTTTATTTTGTGGTGCAAGTTTTATCTTTTATATTTAATGAGTTTCTAATCTATTTCCTATATTGCTTGCATTTTTTCATGAAATTTCATGTTTACAAAGCTTCTAATAATTCCACGCTAATGATATAATCAATAATTAATCAGTAATAATACAATCTAAATTCAGTCAATAAAATATAATTACTAATAATCAATAATTCTAATAATCAAGCTTATCTAAGTTGATAAAAGTTTTGATGTTCTCAATAATAACATAAAGGTAAAAAGGCTGTTCAAAATCTCTAGGCAGAATTTATTCTATATTTAAAAAAAAGTTATATTTATTATTTTAGTGTAAACATAAACCAATCAATGTCATTCTCAAAAAAAAAAAAAACGAAACCGATTTAGGTTTTGTATTCTTAAAAACAGAAAACTTGGGGGATGATTCAGAAAAGAAACAAAAACAAGGCTGAGTTGCGTTTTCTAAAAGAAACACCTGCCTACCTGATTTCTTCACCCTTTCTTTTACTTAACATCAATCTTTCTTCAGAATGTTGAATCTTTTTTCTCTCTCTCTCTCGAAGGAATTTCATGAAGAAAAAAAAATTAAGAAGCGATTGTCTAGATGGTTTAAGTTCCTCTGAAATTAAACTAGTTAAAAAAAATTATCTATATAGTTTATATTTTACAAGTAATAAATATTTTTTATTTGGAAATTATTAATATTTTCTTTCCACTAATATATTTAATGAACGCGTGTTTGTAGCAAAATTTTTAATACAAAACTAAAATTTACACATTTATGTTTTTTGAAAATTTGCACAATTGGATTCAAGAAGAAAAAGACCTCCCATATCCACTCATGACATGATCTATGACGCCAGCTAATCTTTATCAGCAAAATGGTGTATTAAAGTTAACCTAAGTTCCTCTACATAAGTTAGAATGTTAATTAACGTGAAGTTAAATACAAAGCCGTATCGCACATCGAAATAGTTAAAATATAATTCTTTCTCATCTATTTCTTTTACTTAACTTAGATTAATTATTTGTTTATGCATTTTATTGTAACCATGATGTATTTTTGTTTTGTGTACCAGGCAACGTAGTTGCATAATTAGTTTGTCTATGTTCCACACGGTTTCATGCCTGTCTTTTGTGTTAAATCTCTGTGTAAATATATAGTGAACGAATTGAAATCTTTGAGAAGATTCTTTTTGTGTAAGAATGTAGAATGTGTCACTAAAGAGAATTGATAGTTTCAATTCTCTTTAGTGACACAAGAAGACGCATGAAAAATGACACTTGAAGTGCTTGTTTCAAGCGTCATGCTTCATGTGTCACTAAAGAGAATTGATATAGAATCGAAAGAACAGTTGCTATCTTAAACAAATGCCGCATTTCAACAACCAATTAGGATTGAAAAACCCACACTACGTCACTTGCAAGTATCCCATTGATTCCATGCCTTTGCTTAAAAAAAATTTTTTTTTATTGTGAACTCTCGTTCTTGTTGACGATATAATCTTTATTCATGTGCTTTGTTTTGAAGTTTTTTAATCATTCAGTTTTGTTTTTTTAATAAACATTGTGTAAACAATCTTGTTTTGATTATTTCTGTTTGTAAATGATGTTTCACATTCAACTTCGCCGTCTCCTTGAATAAATTTTATGCTATCAATAATCGTGTCGTTGTGACATTCTATATTTATGATTTTTCGATTTATCGTTTGCAAATCGGAACATTTCCTACATTTTGCGGTCATCGTTTTACTTATTTTGCTTCAATAAAAATGTTTTCAATTATTGAGGTCAATGCGATGTTTTTTGATAAAGAAAAAAAAAATCAAAATGATACATTTAACTATTTCGCGTAACCTGTAATTAACTGCTCTGATTACATTTTTTTTCGAAGAAAATAGTTTTTCACATTGTAACAAGTTTTATTTAATTCTGAAAATGTGATGAAGACATATATTTATGCATTTTTTTATTTGAATTAATGTGCATTAAATAGGGTTTCTAAATTACCTTATAAAACTTCTCTACTTTACTTATAATCCTATTATTAATTCATCTATAAAAGAAATTAATCTTTACAGATTTAATAAAATATGAATCTTTATAGAATCTAAATTAATTAGTGATTCTCCACCCATCTTTCTAGTTTAAAATTGGTGTCCGGATTGAAGAGAGAGAAAATAACTTTTCGGGGTATAAAATGACTGTCCGCTTTGTGAAGAGGGTACATAATGATTTATTCATAGAAGATTCACGGGTAATTAAAAATATGTCCTTAATGAGAGGTTTCACTGTATATTAATAAACAGGTTAAAGACTTTTTCATTAAAATAAACTAGACTCTTAAATACTCTCTGTGACATGCTATAATTTATTTTCAAAAAGATATATTTTTTGGTAGGAATTTTTATTTGAAATCATCTTCATTCTAGTTTAATAGTTTTCTCTAGTAGTCTAGTCTAGTTCTAGTCTCAAGTGGCGTTTTTAATGCTATTGTGTTACGTCATAACGTATTTTCAATTTTAAAAAAATAACTATAATAATAAATTAAAATCTGTTCAAACATTTAAAGATTTTTTTTTTCCAATCAAATCATCTAGTGTTTTAAACACTGCAGAGTTATTCCTTGTCCTTAGAAATATCTAACAGCAGAGTGCTTGTATTAAAAAATAAAAAAAATAAAAAGAAGTTTTTACACTATTTAAAATATATGTTATTTTTTAAAAATTGTATGTTTCAATTAATTAAATTTAATATTTGAAAATACATAATATAATCTTGTCCGTCTTTATTCTTTTAGAAAATTATTTAAACAAATAAAATGACAATATTTAACTTAGAATAAATTAAATAAGTATTAAATTCAAAGATGCAATATTTTGTATTCTACTCTTAAAATATTTTTGGCTGTCATATTTAGGAAATGTTATTTGCAGCCTTTATTTAAATTTAAACATGAAGTTGAATTTTCAAAACATTTGATATTTATAGTTAAGTTTTATTTTATTTCTCGTCAAAGAAAGATAAACTGTTTGAAAGAGTTCAAATCTTTAAATATCTACGTAAAATTAAAATTACGGAGTGCGTAATTTTTTCTTCTTCTTGAAGTAAGAAGTGAGCTAGAAGCATAAGGAACGATTCGAGGAGGGTGCATATGTCTTTATAAAAAGGCAGGGAGGATGGACTGCCCTTGAAAAACTGCTATTGTGAAATCTATAATTTATTTAAAAAGAAAAAAAAGTTGTTTTTTTTTTAATTATTATTTTTAGCATAATCTTTTAGTAGACTTTTTTTATTCAAATGATCTAATGTCTTAGTACTATTGTCTAAAAAAAAAAAAATATTAATTGTGTCCTTTTTCAGACACGCGTGGAGAAAAAAGGCTCACTCAGCTTTGATGACTTCTTTCATTTCATTCAGGAATCTGAACATCACCTCATGGCTTTGTTCAAATACATGGATGAAAATAGGGACGGTAAGCATTTCATTCATTTAACATCCATTACTTCCTATTCTTCTTCTTCATTTATTTTAATTAACATGACGATGTTTTTTTTTTCTCAGAAAATTATCTATTTGACATAATTTTTGTTTTAAATAATTAACAATTTCTTTCTTTTATGAACATGAATATTTTATAAAAAATAAAATAAAATTGTTTTTGGTAGTATAAAGGCATTTAAATGCATGAAAATAATTTCAGATTGCATCTCAGTCTTTTCAATAAATATCGCTTGAGATATAACATGCTTAAGTAAATATTAACTATTATTATGTAACTGTATTTTCCAAATTTCTAGTATTAGTTTCTTATGTTTCTCAATAATAATATTTTCTGTTATGTATTTGAAGGTTTTTCAAAATAAGTCTGGAATAAAATTAGAAGAAAAAAAATTACATATCAAAAAAAATTTTTTTTTATTATTAGGTGTAATTGAATTAAATTGGCAGTTTGCTGCTTTTTTAATGAAATTGTACTATTTTTCCAAAGAAAAAGTTTACATGTTTCCTAGTAGAAGTTCATATGTCCCATTGATTTTCCACCAGCATTATCCTCATGGACATAGAGTGTTTACCCCAAACTTAAATGATTAAAGTGTTACTTTTTTTTGTTGCTGTATAGTTTGATAATTAACCCCCCCCCCCCCCCCC